GCCCATGAAATTCGCCTGAGTCCGTGTTGGGGACGACGGCTCCTTCCCCTTCCCTGCCCAAAAGTTCGGCTTGAGATTATCCAACAGTTTGCGCTTGTTGTTAGGTGAGGAGCTCGCACTGCCCTGCTGATCTTTGAAGGGAAAACGTCGATCTGAAGACGATCCACTGCTCTCTCCAGACGGGGAATTCAGGGGGGAGGATTCCTTGGAAAATTCCATGGGGATCGGAGAGAGACACGGAGAGTTTGGAGTGGTTGGGGAACCTAAGGGAGGGGTTGGGAGAGAGATTTTCCGGCTCTTGTTCATCCGAGGCAGACTGTGGCTTCCGTCCATCATACTGTTTTCCTTGTTGATCATGAGAGCGGGGACGGAATGCTTCCGGAAGGTGGACTTGGAGTCAGGGAGGCTGTTGGTGGAGCCGCAGTTTGATTGACAGTTCTGCTGGGTGAGGATGGAGGGAGGGGAGCCTGGGACGGGGTTTGGACTGGAGAAGCTTTTTCTCAACGTGTTACTGGCGTAAAGGACATCCCGCTGGTACTCTATAGGGGACTGCAGGGCTGAAAGCAAAGTGAAAGTTTTCAGTCAGTTTGGTCACAACTGGTGATGTTGGAAGAAACTTTTCTTTAAACAATGCTAGGAACTTTTGATTGAAAACAAATACTGTAAGTCCAGAAATTGCTTCTCGCTGCTATATGTAGCCTATGTACGTGGCACTTTTGCACTGAGAACTCCAGTCAGAAGCTCTGAGGAAGGTGTCTGACAGACACTAAAACGTCAGCACTTTAGGTGCGTAAATTTGGTCGTGTAAAAGAAAATTCCTGTATCCTATTCTTCACCAACCAGATGAAACTATTTTTGGAAGTATCTACAGAAGTTTTACCTCTGATGAAGTCCTTCTGTCTGTCCAGTAGCATGCTGATCTCAGCGACCCATGTCTCCCTGATGTCTGGTGCAGGAGCCTGCAGGATGTAACAGTCCTCACCGTCTCGGGTCTTTGACATCAGGCTGAACTTGGTCGGGTCATTGTCAACATCAGGCATCATGGACATGTCTTTCACCTGGAAAAATCAAGATTTTAGTTGAATATAGATCTTTAAAGGCATGTTTTCATAATTAGGCCACACCGATTTAATTTTATGGATGACATCCTCTGAAGACCCCCAAACTAGTGCGCGCGGGCGAAAAAAATAAAAATCCGGCCAAAAATAAAAATGCTACAAAACCACAGGAATACAAACCTGGTATTGTGAATTTGGCGCATTACATAGCGACGTATACGATAGGCCGACACATGCTGGATTTTTGCGGAATATATGAATCGACACTGCTGTACGTATGTACTGAGTTCTTGAGTCTTGGAGCTTCGATAGCCTGGCTGCCGTCAACCAGAGTTATCACCACCATGCACTACCCAGGCCTAAAGCCAGGCCAGAGCCTCGGAATACGTGATCTTTTTTTTTCTTTTTTTCTTGAGATCGGGCGAAAATCAATGCGCGCGCGGATGTCATCCATAAAATTAAATCGGTGTGGCCTTATTTGAGTTGACTTTAACATAACCCTTGACCCACAAAAATTGGCGTGTAAAGATATAGAAAGAGATGCCATTAAAATAAGCTTAGTCTAGATCTAAAAGCAGAAATCGCAGGAAATACTGCTTGCAAAATGCAGGAAATTCACAGGGTCAAGATTTTGAAATTTTCCCGGCCCTGAACATATGATGTTGCCTCTAACAAAACTGAGATGATGGAAAAAAAACTTTAGGCTGGCTAGAACTGGTGCAAAGTCAGTCTCCTCACCTTGATGCATCCCTTGTACAGGTAGCCTGGGTTGCTCAGGCCCTTCTTGTGGTCCAGGGGCTCGCTGAAGATGACAATCTGTTCGAAGAGGAAGACTCTTCTCTCCTTCCCCTTCCACTGCAGCAGACTGCTGTTGTCTGACACGATCATGGGGTCATGGAGCAGCAGCTTGCCCTGGGCATTGATGTTACCCTGTTGGTGTGGACAATCATTGTTAGAAACGACTAACATATTTACACTATCCCTAACACAAATCTACATTTTACCAGCCCGAATAGTTTTTCTTTCTCAAGTTATGTGTGAATTGCTTTTAATGTCTGAATCTGTACCCTG